ACATTCCCAGCCCAGCTACTCTAACTTTTAAAAGAGCATTGGCGCCAATAACTTGGCAAATCCCCAGTCCCACTCATTCTGGGTCGCCTTGATCCTTTCATTCTGATATGTCTGAACTGAGATTCTGTTTTACAAAAATTTGATTGATTTTTACTTAATAGATCACATAACTATATTGTTGTTTGAACATTAAGATTGACTTAGAATTTTGAGTATTTGTAAAATGTAGCTGAGTATGGCTCTACATAAGAGGTCCTGTGGTCAAATGCGTCTCTATAACATCTACTTTAGTGACCACTTGCTAATTACTTTTCTCTGACTGAAAATTTCCTTTACAATAGGAAGTTAATAATAATTTGTTAAAGAATTACTATGCTGGTTAAATGAAACAACCTATATAAAGCAGTCAGGAGCAATATAGTACCTAGCACATCCTAGGGCTCAAAGAAATAGCAACTGTTAAAGAATTATTTTACAGAACATGGAAGTGTCTATGGCACTCATTCATTTTCCTCTTTCTATCTGGACTTCCCTTCCATCCTTCATTACAAGTGTCTCTTCCTTTGTCATTTAAATATTTGCCTATAGAACTTAGACATCATCTCTTATCCTACATTCTCTCCCTAGAGAACCTTACCCACTCCAGTGATTTCCATTAGTATCTAGACACTGATAGGGCCTGTATTTCTATTTACAGCCCATATCATACTTCCTGAGCTTTCTGCCCCGTATCTACTTACTGCACATCTCTAGTTGGAAGTCTAAAGGCTTTTCAAAACACAACAAGTTCAAAATTAAACTTTTTTCTTTTTCTCAAAATGAGCTTCTGCTCTTATGTTTCCTCATTCGGTAAATAACCATGAATAGCTCTTAGCTACTTCAGGAAGAAGACTGTTATTTTCCTCTCAGTTCTCCCTCACCCCACAGCAAATCCATCCAGTCTCTGTTATTCCAAATCCCAAACAGCTTTCATACCTTTATTTCTCTGGTTCCCAACTGACACTGCCCAACTACCCTGGTCTACATTATTCTCATCTTTTATCTAAATTATTGTAACATCCATCTGAACAGAATTCATTCAAACCATCCCATACAGTGCTGTGATTTTCTTAAAAATAGAAATCTGATCATGTAGTACTCTGGTGTAAAGTCTGTCAATAGTTTCCCTCAGTTTCTCTGATGAAAGGCTTAGAAGGTATGGATCTTCCAGCCTTGCCTTCCTGCCCAGCCTACTGCTGGGTATTCCCCACTCCCACTTCATCTCATCTAATCAGCACTCTCCACACCATAGTGTCTTCCCATGAACTCCTCTCACTACACAGGAACTATAATTTCTACCCTTTCTTCACCAAGCTAACTTCTTATTTACTCAATTCTCAGCTGATGGTCAAAACATTTTTAAAAACAACATCTACTGTTACAGTTCCACTAAGGACACTAAATGTCATATTGTGATAAGTTGTACAGAAAAATGGCTTTGCCATTAATGATATATTTTAAACTCAGTGGAATGAATATTCTCTATTGTCCAAGTACTGAATATATATGCATTTATACATATTCAAAGGTAGAGTTACATGTCAAGTTAGAGTTTGTAGAAGGAAGCACCAGATGTGAAAAAGGCACATTTTTTATTTGAAAAGAGATACAAAATGAGATTTCTCAACACATCTCACCACTTTGTGAAAATACATCAGGCATAAGCTGATGGATGATACCTCTAGTCTCCACAATAGTGAGTACTTCAGGAGATAATAGTTATCTATGCAACAGGTCAACTCTATTGCAATGTCCCCAATGATTGGATTCCACCTAACATTAGATAGGTTTTTAATTATAATTCTCTCCAAGCCAAGAAAACCTAAATCATTTTCTCCATCCCAATAACTTACAAACATATGCTATATTCAGTACCCTCATTTGTTGCCAGTGATGAAAAATATGTAGATAACTAGAAAGTTTATTTTTGTTTCGTTTCACTTGAGAGCCCACTGGCAAAAAGGGAACATTAAAATACTTGAAGATTCCCACATTCTAACACTGATGTTAAGCACCTTAGCAGAACAATGCTCTCCTAGAGATAGTGAATAAACTATAACTCAACTAAATATATTCTGCACTTCCCACCCCATATTCCTGACTCCTCTTGTCCTACTAAATGAGGCTATTATTAGCTTTCATAGATTGCATTTTTCTTCCCAATTCTTTCTTCCTACTCTAACCATCCAATATCCCTTCCTTTTGTACTGTAACATTGTACTTCCTTTTTCTAAAAGTAGAGTATATTTGCCCACCAAACTGATGCTGGGTTTACCCTTCTGATAAACTGTGATCTGGCGAACAGAATGTATGCAAGAAGTGAAAATCCCAATTCTCAGCATAGGCATAATGAAACATTACATGTTCTACTGTCCCTGTATTTTACTACTACTCTCCAAAAGACAACAGGTCCCAGCAAAGATGAGAGACACAGAGGGGCATGGAGGACCTATGACTTGGAAACAAGCCCAGACTAGATCAACCAATTCACAGACAAATGATTGAGAATAGGACCATCTTCCTAAGGCACTGAGTTTGGGATTGCCTGGTATGTAGTATTACTTTGTAAAATGTTAAATGACAAATCTTAAGCTTCATTTACCTCTTTTCCAAAAATCAGTCTTGGCACCATCAAAGTAAATTTTGGTAAGATTCCCATTTTTTTCCTCCTCTGGGTTCTACATGTATCAATATAACAAGGGCCTCAACTTCCACAGGCTTACCAAACACAATATTCTTCAGTGAGTACTTACTGATCTTAAATAAAGCCCATGTTCTTTGAAAGGTAAAGAACCTATGGGGAAAAAGGATACTTCCCCATAGGTTTTATTTATTGATATTTATTACACTGAGATACAATATAATAAATCCTATGGAAAGAAAAATACAATGTATTAAAACCAACATAGCATATTATACTTTTATATCTTTTAAATAAAACAATTATAATTTATGCACATGGATATGATATAACCATCTTACAGAAATCCAACCTCCATCTCACAATATATGTTTTTGGTACATTCTAGTTCATAAAGCATGATTTCTCCCATTACTATGTATGAAACTTCTCCTACAAGGTAGGAAAACAGATATAAAATCTATGCATTTTACTTATAAAGAAAGTAAAAGTGAAAATGACTCGGAAGAAGTAACAACCGATTAACATTCATTGAGCTCTTATATCTGCTCAGCTCTCTGCTTAACACTTCACAGGAAAAATTCCATTCTATCATTACAATGAAAAGTAGAAAAGTACTAACTATTATTTCTCACTTTTCAAATGAGAAAACCAAGCTGAAGTAACATGTTTAGATCACATTATTTGTAAATGTTGGAGGCAGGTTTTAATTTTTTGTTGTTATTGTTATTGCATTTGTTTTTTGTTTCTTTGTTTGGGACATGGGGAAGTTGAACTTAGAGACTCTTAATCACTTAGCCATATCCCCAACCCCTTTTTATTTTATTTTTTTTTTATTTTGAGACAGGGTCTTGCTAAGTTTCTCTTGCTTAAAGCGTCGCTAAGTTGCTGAGGCTGGCCTTGGACTTGTGATCCTCCTGACTCAGCCTCTTGAACTGGTGGGATTATAGCTATGTGCTACCATGCTTGGCTAGAGGCAGGTTTTGTGCCATTTATATATTTACATGCATTTATTCAATAAGTAGTTAATAAATCCTCAAAACATGAAAAACAGTGAGGTCTGAAGCCCTGATCCTTAACAAACTATATAAGTATGAAGGGAACTGAGAAATATGTGTGAACTCTGCAGTGGTTCCCCAAACTGATGCCTCCAAATATCAGTGAGAATCTATGTTGAAAAGATAGTGATTCCTGGAGAAGCTCAGGGACCTGTGTTTTTAACAGTCTCTAAATTATCTAGATAAATACAGCCAATTGAGATCCCAGTGGTCCCCAGGTGTGTATTCCCTGATGGTGCTGGGAGATTTAAAAAAACAAAACAAAACAAAAGGCTTAAATTAGCTTTTCGTGAGGCCATATATTTATCATTTTTGTTTCTAACTGCAGAAAATAAAATATGAATGCTACATTAATCACATAATATAGGCACAGAAAAGGTTGGTCAAAGAAATCCCCAAGTCTGGAAATTTTGGTTTGTGGCTTATTTTCATATGTTATTCTTTAAGGGAACAATAACTAAAAAGTGTACGTGGAGGTTCATATTTTCTAATCTTCTTTACTTCCCACATGTAGAATTTATTAGTTTAAACACTGTCATAAACTGAAGCTTGCAGAATTGTCATAAAAACAAAAAAAAATGACTGGAAGAAGGAGAAATATTCTATGCTGCAGGGTAGAGAGTGTCAGAGATTATCTCCCCTCCAGGTCAGCGTAATAAATAAATTATAGAGTGCAGGAAAGCTAGCATGGAACAAGCTGTTTCATCCCAGTAAAATAAGGCAGATAAAAAACCTGTAACAATTAACCTCATATCAAGAGGTTAAGCAGATAAAGAGAATGTTTCACTTTACAACATTGTCACTTTATTATTCAAAATTTATCAATGATCAGTTACTAGAAACACCTAGCATAATACCTACTATATGTCCTCTCTAACATGCAATATTTAGAAACGTGTCTTTATATGACATATATCTAGAATAGAGACTGGCATTTAGTAGGCCCTAAAAAGTATCAATAGGTGCTATGGTTTAAATGTGTCCTCCAAAGATGATAGGTTGAAAACTTAATCCTTAATGAAGCAGTTTTGCAAAGTGGGACCTTGAAGTGGTTATTAGGTTTGGGCAGATCTGACCTCATAAATGTATTGATTCCATTAATATTCAGTGAGCTCCACACCCCAGCAGTGAGTTCCTAATGAAAGAATTGAGTTGAGCCTCCTCCTCTCCTACTTCCCTCTCTTACATTCACACGTATGCACACACCCTCCTCTTGCCCTTCCACCTTCCACTATGGGATGATGCAGCAAGAAAGCTCTTACCACATGTAGGTCCCTCAGTCTTAAACCTTCTGGCCTCCTCCTAGAAAACAAATGTATTTTCCTTATTTATTACCCAGTCAATAATATACTGTAATAACAATACAAAATAAACTGAGATAATGAGTGAATGAATGAGTGAATTCCAACAGCAACCGCAATTCTACCAAGGGTACTCTCCTGTCCTAACACTGAGTTAAAACGAAAATGACTTGGAAATTGAGAGGGAGGAAAGTGATTCACATGTCTCAATGGTTTAAAAGGAAATATATTTTTAATATATTATTATTTAGGGGAATAATGACTAAAAATGTATGTGGTGGTTCATGAAATATAATATATATGTTTGTTTGTTTCATTTTGTTTTTTTAACTTACTACAAACTGTGACCCATGCCAGCCCAGTTTCAATGTATAAGGAAACCATTGACTTCTTCTAAAATTTGGGAAATTGTGGATTTTATTCACAAGTGCTGAGAGTGTTTTGTGTTTTGTGTGTGTCCTTTGAAATAAAATTTATGTCAAAAATAAAACGTGCATAGATTTCAATATACATTGCCCACTTAAATCAAAGTATCATAGTATTTAATATGCTAAGAGTTAAAATCCAATGTGTTAAAACAGCACAAAGGTATGTCTGAGCTAGTTACTGTTGAGTGGCACTAACTATGGATTTACTCACTGCAAACCGTCCTTGATATGCTGCCTGTCTCTTCCTGGTAAATGGCAGTGAAGGTCAGTGAATCTAATTTGACAATAATGAGCCTGCTCTGCAATGTGTTATAATATTGTGCCCCCTCTTCTTTTTTTAAAGGTATCAGCCAATCAAAAAGGCTATTCAATGACACCAGGGAAACCCCAGGAGAGGTGGAGAGAGTCAAAGAACGCTACTCTCTTATTTTTCCTTTCCAATAATGGAGACAGGGGAGGTTATGAACATGTTCAATATGCATTAAAACAAAACCCAGCCTGATAGGAATGCTTTAATTAATAACAATTATCTTCTGCAGCATTATGATTCAAGCCAGGTCTCTGAGCATGAAGGAGAAACTTGACACTTGTGCTTCTTTGTGGACAGAGAGATTTTAAGCAAAGTTAATGGAAACTCAGCGGATGAATGGTGCCGCAATTCAAATGTACTGTAAAATTACTGAAATGATTTCAATGTCACAGGACTACACTGCATTGCATTTATGATTATTACCCCTTTCTAAGCTTTACTGATATTTTGTCAAATATCTTAAAGCTTGTCTTCAAAAAATGGTATACTTCAGATAAGAATGTTGATGCAACAAATAATAATAATCCATTATTGTTTCTATAATAGAATATCATAAAATATATCCTATAATATATTCTATACACATGTAAACAGCCTACTATAATTTCTACATATAATTTTTATAATAACATGAATAATAATAATGATTATTATTATTGGTGAAGATAAAAAGTCAAAATGTTGACCTAAGGGTAATGACCCACCAAAGGCCAAATCCCACCCCAAATATCTTTGTAAATCATTTTCTATATCCTGAAATTTTATTTATCAAAAAATGTTATTTATCAAAACATAATTTGTGAGAATCATTTTGGGTTTATGCTTAAAATATATACTCCTGAGCCCTACGCCACACCTTCCACCTTACCATCTCTTAGGAGAGTGTCCATAAATCTGCATTGTAACAAGTTCTCAAGATAATTCTCATGTACCCTAAAACTTAAAAAGCATTGTCCTACAGTGGAGGTTCTTAAACTGGGAGCCATCAAATTCAAAGGTCCATGAACTTTAGATGGAAAAAATGCACCTTCAATGAAGTCTAAAATTTAGCTATCCCTTCAGTTATGAATATAGTAAAAAGAAAATCACAATAGTTTTAGAACATCTGAGTTTATCAGCAGTAAAAATTATAGAAAATATCCTATTATATTTGTTATAGGTATCTCAAAATATTATTAACATTGATCACTAGTTTGACAGATGTTAGTTATTACACTCCCTGTTAGAGTTTTTAATTTAATGAATTATAAAATGAGCATATAAAATATTTAAATATTTTGACAACTGTATTTCAATATAATTTGTTTCTTTTGTAATCATCTGTGTTTAATATATTTAAAGATAATTTTCCAATGGAGTCCACAGGCTTCGTGAGACTAGCAATAAGGATTCATGACACATACGAAGTTCAGAAGCCCCTGCATTTTTGCAGAGGGAGAATGAAAACATGGAGAGAGCTAGATGCAAGCTGTGCGTCTGCATCACACAAACCCTTCCTGGCATTTCCTTTGAACAGATATAGATGTGGAAGCATAAAGGAAGGTGGTTTATAAAATGCCAATGTGTTTAAAAGTGAGGTGGGGGAAACAGGACCAGAAACACCTGTCAGTCACGAATGGCTTATTGGCTGAGTTCATCAGCAGGGGACCTGAGTTTGATCAGTTCTGCCATGATTAGTGTCACTACAGTCAAGTGTAATTTCTGTATAAATAGAAGTGGTAGATTGGAAAATAATTCAGTCCATCCCTCCAAATTGTCTCAGTCAGCACAGACATCAAAATCTGTCAGCCTGAGGGGGGAAGCACACATACGCAACGAAGCCTATAATTGTATTCAGTATTCAAATATTTCAAACTACAGAATATTATTTGCAATATAAAACCAAAGAAAAATCAATGTTGATTGTGCAGCTTATCTAATTGTGAAAACAAGGTTTATCCATTTTTCATTGTCTTCTTTGATAAAAGTGAGCAAATATAAATTTTTGTATTTCATCACTTTTGCACTGATTGGATATTTTCAACTCTAAACCTGTTTGTCATCTAATTGCTTGACTTAATCCAATCAGTTGTTCAAGACAGAGACCTACAGACCTCTGCTCCCTCCTAAATCCTATTGTTTTTATCTCCTTAATTTCCTTGAAAGTAATTCACTTTTTTTAGGTCCGTTGCTACTGGGTTAGTTCAGACCATCATTATTTTAGCTAGTGTTACAGAAATGAGTCCTAACTGGGATCCTTGACTCCAAACCTGCTTGTCTCCAATCTTTTCTCCATATGGTATAGGATAGCATTTTGAAAATGCAAGTTTTGATGTCAGGCCCCTGCAAAAACATATCTATGGAATCCCACTGCTCTTAGACTACATGCCATACTTCTAAAAATAGCATAGCAGCCCTTGAAGATCAGCCCCAGTCTTATATGTCTAGCACCCCTCCCCCCATGCTGTAGACTTCACAAACACTAACTTCTTCCCAGGCATTTCTGGGCTTGGAGACATGCCTTTCCTCTGATTAGGATGCCTGCTGATAGGACTAATTTCACCTATCATCTCCTGTGGAAAGTAATAAGTGCTTGCCTAGTACATGGCATTGGCCCTTTCCCTCTATTCATTACATCAGACTTATCTAATTGTGAAAATTGTGAACTTGCATTTTTTGTTGGATTAGCTAAATTAATAAGCAGTATTAGTGTCAACACAACTGTATTTGACACCTATTGGTAGTTGCAATCTCAACTTATGCTTTAATAAATTAAGAATGAGATACAAAACCATAAAATTTACCAAGGGAGATGTTTCACATTTAAGTAACCTCAGGCCCTCAGTCTGTCTTCTCAGCCTTCACAGGGGCTGATGTCAAAGGCATCAAAATTGACTAATGTTGCCTTAAGTGAAGATGACCTCTTTACTTCTTCTGGGCAGAATTCCATTGATAAGGAAGTCTAATCAATGGCAGTAAAACCCATGGTGGGGGTGCTTTTTTTAGTGCCTGGAGCACAGTAAAAGTTTTAGGAAGTATTTGCTCAATGAATGATGAACCATTTTCCACTTAAGTCAGAGCTCTACCTAAGCCCTTGTCCTTGAGGCCCTCAGACTAGAATAAAGGAGAGAAGAAGGATAAAGAAACTGGTTCTGAACACTTGATCTGATATCAGTGAAGATAACTACACAAATATGATTGTGTCACCCTGTTGCTTATACAACTTATATAGGCTCCTCCAAACTACAAAACAGATATTATAATCTTTGGAAGAAACTAATAATTATGATGAGAACTAATGTTTGCTGAATACCTACTAAATACAGACACTATGCTAAGAGATTTGCACCTATCTCATTGAATCCTTTCAACACAATGGGGTGGGCAATAATATTACATCCATTTTAAAGACAAGAAAACCAAGAATAAGTTACTTGTCCAGAGTTGCATAGTTAGTGAAGAGCAGAGACGAGAATAATCAGCAAGTAATCTAATTCCAAAGATTGCATAGTGACTCATTTTAGTATATAAATTATGAATCATTTAATGCCAACCTAGATCACTAGATACAAACTTTTGAAACCAAAATGTTTTTCATCCCTCATCTATTGATCTACCAAGAACCAATCCATTTAACTATTGTAAATACTTGAAACCAGCCATATCTTTATAAGATTTCTGTGAGATCCCATGTTATCTCCTTTGCCAAGGATTCCCCTGTATCCAACATGTCCCCAATTGTTCATCCTACAAGCTCCATATCTAATATTCCCTGATCTGAGAGCCTACCCCAACTCCCTCAGAAAGATTAAATTCTGGAACCTCATTATACCTTGTACTGTATTATCATTGACAATATCAAGTAATCATATCTCTCTGGGCCACCCTTCTCCCTAATAAGATAGACAACAGGTTCTCTAAAGAGGGAGATAATGTCTAATTGACCTTTGTATATTATTTACTAGTGCAGCTCCATGCCTCAGTTCAAGCTCAATAAATATTCCTTAATATAAAGTGAGGTGGGTGGAGGGGAGTTTGCTTACCACAAGATTAAGAAGTGACTTCAAAAAGCTGAAAATGAAATGTATACAAAAAATACAATATATTATGAAGAGTAAAACAGGACCATTAATGTAAGAAAAAACAATAAGCCAGGACAATGTCACTGTGTGTGCTGATGAGAATATACATAATACTCCTAATATTGACTGCAAGATGAGTAAATGGCTGAATTATAGTCAATACACTGTTTTTAAGGAAGCATTTAAAAATAATGCATCTTGG